AGAGAGAGAGAGAGAGAGAGAGAGAGAGAGATGTGCAAAATCGCAGCGCGACCTTACTTCGCGCCGTTTACTTTCGCGCATCTCCATAATTCATTCTCATTATACTTTGTGCTTACTCTCCATGCAAGCTCAACTCATTAGATACGTGTACGTACTTACCTACCTTGTGTAAGGTACTACCAAAGATAATATTATTCGCACGCAACGTTACTTCGAGAACATAAGGAAGATATTTGCTTTAAGTATTTTCCTCTTAATTTTTGGAAAGATCATCAATGAATATAAACAGAATTTCTACGAATTCGTTATTACGCGTTTAGCCAGATATAATATATGCTATTTTTAATGTTAATAAAGCTAACATATAAGTATAATTAATTATTTAATAATAATGTAATATATATAATATGTGTTTGTGATATGACGAGAAATCAACGATGGTGGGTAATCAATTATGCTAATTTTATGATATAATAATCGTTTTGTTATTAATAATAAATATTATAATAATAAATAAAAAATTTAAAAGAAAGAGAATAATATGTGTATGTGAATAATGAAACACATGTTCACCAAGAAAGGATGAATTTATTCATTATACGAAGATTATACGAACGATAAATATATTAATAATTGATGAAAATAACGATCATAATAAAATAGTAACATTAGTATTTAAGTAAATAGTTAACTAACAGAAATATTTTCGTTTCGACAAAACTTTTTGAAAGGTGGAAACGTTTTCAAACTTTTTCCTATAAGCGTTCGTAAGATTAATCTGCCCAGACGTAGTAATATGCTAGCCAAAAGCACTCGGAACGTCATAAATTTTGGCTGTACCGGGTGCCGACGAGGTTAAGCCTTCGCCTTGGAGTTGACGCACGATTGATCATGCTGTAGGCGTATAGACGTTGTTTGCGTGTCCTGAGTCTTAATGTTTCAACGTAGACATGCCGCCTACTATAAACTTCATCTCGACTATTATCCAACGCATGTATTCTATCACGTTAACTTACAACGTTCGAGAGAAGAAACTTTCGATGCAACGCGTACTACGAGAAATCTATATAGCTTTGTATAGTTTTCCGTGAAAATGTGCAAGTACACACGTGCACGTGGGCACGCGCGCGCACACACACACACACACACACATATTCATACAGTATGATAAATATACGTGAAGAGAAACAATGAGGAAAATCGTGTCAAGGACGCATAATCCAACCTTTTTTTACCAACCTAAGGCAACATGTACACGCACATACACATAACGCAAATACGCGTGCGCGCATGTCCACACACACTCACGCACATACACACACAGACAATGTGTATATTTCGTTCGACACGAAAAGTCTGTCTTCTATCCACGCATTATTCTTTTGTTTGCTTTATGCTTGACATAGAAGATAAAAATGAAATGCTATTCTTTTAAATAGCGCGCGCGCATATGAGTGAAAGAGGAAAAGAGAGAGCGAATGTCGAGATGCGTTGTGTTCGGTTCGTTAAGTCGACAAAGGATGCCGATGATTCTTCCGCGATTGTCAATTATGTGTTTCATACATTGTTTTAATTTTCTTTTTTTTTTCTTTTTTCTTTTTTCTTTTTTTATTTTAATCTTCAACCCCTTTTTTTTCAATTTTCATTAAACAAATGTCATTTATTTGTGAGTCGTGATGGAATCCTCACGTTTAGACAAATCCAGAGAGACAGGAAAAGGAAATTGATAGGATATTTCATCACCAATTTAGAATTTTTACGAGTTTATAAATACATTTATGTATACAGTGAATGTTCCTTAAAATCGTATACCGTTACGCTTACTACATTTTTGCTTGAAAACTATTCATATAGCGTGCTTAGGATGAAGATAATTAAGAGATAAATACATTAGTATACCTTTATTACATTTTTATATTATAATTAAGTAATTGCGAAAATAATCTATAGAAAACGCTCGTATCTTAAAATCGTACTTTTATGGTAAAAGTCAATTAAATTTCTTTTATTGATTGTTGTTTACATTACTTCCCGAAGATATATATATATAACGAAAGTAATATGTGTGTGTGCGTAGAAAATAAAATGTATTTTTCTGAAAGTCATATAAACAATATTCAATAAAAGTACTTTCACAGAGGACAACGAGCCAGTCTAACAATACATTTCGAAGAGAACAGTACGTTGAATTTATTCTTCGTGCTTTTAGACTACAATTAACATTTTCTTTAATTAATTAACAATCATTTAAGGTATATTTAATATTTTAATGTACTTTTTATATTTTATATTTATGATTGTTTGAATTAATATACATTGTTTTAAACGTTTCTACTTATCGTTGATTTCGAGTTGAAAATATCCATCTAATAAAATATCAGTTTGAAATTGTTTAATATTCGAAGTATGTTAATAGATAGGTAATTTTTAAACAAATGTGCTTTGTATTATTCTTACTTTAATGAGTATTAAATTGATTCTAATACTAAAAAACATTGAAATAATAGTAAAAACACAAAGGATAACATAATATACACGATTGTAAGTTTCTTAATTAGCACACTAACTATATTAATAATTCTCAAGTAAAAATTTTGTAAGCATAATAATGTACGATTTTAAGGATCACTCATCGCATGTATATAGCATTCATTTCTTTTTATTTGAAATACATATCGTGTAATTACTGAGAAGCGATCATTCACGATAAAAGTGTGTGAATGCTATTTGTGCAGACACATAACGTGTTTTACTGACACGCCTTCATATTTATCATTCATCCAGATAATAATACGTTCAAAGTAAATGATGAAATATCAGCCGGAATTAATAATAATACGTTATTATTCGTCAAACACATATTTGCGCGGAAATACAAGCAAACGCATTATAACGCTCGAATGGTCAGCTGATTTTTATCCGAAAAATGTTTTTTATGGAACCTTGCATTGGACTCTGTGTTATTATCAAAGTTTATGTTTTCTGGACATATGTATGTTGATGGCAGATGGATATATGGTTATTTGTATCAACGAGAAGAGTGCCGAATCTCGATGATAAAAATCATTAATTGAATTTTAATGAATGTTACGTTGCACGTTGCTAATATCTGCTTTCGTTGATGTAATTCATTACCATTATCAATTGTATCATTATCATTAGATTAGCATTATTGTTATTATAGATACAACAAGCGCTCCTTTCTCTTGCATTCTTTTTTCTTTCTTTTGTGATATTTCAATAACGATCATCATAAATCAACGCACGTAATATGTAAATTAATATTACCTATATAAAAGAAAATCTTGAAAAAAAGCTCGTTGCATTTGGGAGAATCAAGCTGCATGATCGTAACAAAGTCTATTAATGTATTTCTCATGAATATACCATTAGAGAAGTACAACTTCTGTTGCTTCCATCAAATCGAATCCGTCATCTTCTTGTTCGTCATGTTATCAAAGGAAAAGAAGGATCGTGTCGGATATATCGATCTTTCTCGTTTCAAGCTTTTTTTCTTTTTCTTTTTTTTAAAACCTATATATGTCAAAGAGTACATCTTT